AACGAGGCAAACATACAAGGAAGGTTTATGAAATCAGCTAACCCGTCAAATTGACGAGTTTCGTAGAGATAGATATACTACATACGAATTTCAATAATTAAGAAGCTTAGGAAAAAATAATTGTGTGTATAAATTCTTCGGATTAAATGATTAATTTACGATGCAAAATGGTTGAAATTAATGCTATGGTTTTTTGGGCATTTCATTTCGAAGTTTGAAATCAGTCAAATCGACGAGTCCCGTAAACCTAGTGTTAATCGAGTGCGTAGTCTAATCGGCGCGATAGCGCTTGTTTAATTTTATGTCGCAAATCCCAATCGTCGCGATAGCGCTTGTTGGTACTATGTGACGTACGTGCATCAGCAAAGTTGAGCGCGATAGCGCTGCTTGGGACTCAAACGGTTAATGACAGACAAAGTGTAGGATTATGGAAAAGCGTGCGAATTTTAGTTACCAATGAGGCGGCGAGTGACGAGCACTTAGCAGTGATAACCGGAGTCCCAAATCGAAGCAGCGATCCGTTTGATCAGCGATCAATGAACAAAGGAGGCCCATTCTTAAAATAGTAGGTCGAGAAGCGTATGGGAACAGTTCTTAGACAGTTCTTTGAGAGACAGTTTACGTGAGAGACGAGAGCGTGCGTACCTCATAGCGAAGAGAAGTATATCGAATCGGCCACCGAGAGTTAGACTTGTGACCTAGCCCTCACTTAGTAAACCCCTTGAAAAAGTAGATTTTCTTGTTACGTTATAAAATATACATAGTTCTTGGGGTCCCCCCTCACGGTCGTTGAAGTCGTGCTAGCGCTGGTATCCCTGTTGATAGTGAAGCTACAAGGGACGTGGCTTGGGCCTGCTAGTGGACTCATCAATAAGGCTTTCTTCTAGCAGGCCCTGCCTTAGACTGGGATAATATTGGCCTTGCGTTATAACCTCTTTAACACAAATCTTTGGTGAGGTGTGCATATCTGTCGTGAAATAGTATGAAGAACTTGTATTGTGAAAATATTCACAGGGAATAGGTTTACTTACAGGATACTTTTACAATTATTGATTTTAACCCTTTGCGCTCGACGATTTTTTGGCTAAGGAAGGGTACGAATTGATAAATTTTCTGTTATAAAGCTGATGATATCTTTTGAGCAGTAAATAACAAATCGTGTAGAATTATTTAATTTCGATTCTTTGCACACTGTTGCGTTGTTTTAAATTTCATGTATTAATTAATATCGAGCTTCGAAATTTTATCAAATCACGACTGAAGGGCGCCTGTCGAGTGCAAAGGGTTAACATAAGTACACTGTGCAATAAATTTTAATTTTTTCTCTCATCTGGAATATTTATTATAATAGATAATTCATGTGAAGCTAACTCGAAATTGCTCTATTAACTTCAGTTTCTGAAATTTTTCTAAAAAGACACAATTTTTGTTTGAAGTGAAGTATCGAAAACTGTTTCGCACTATTTGCACAGTTGGACTTTCGTCCCTTCTAGCACCACTGCCACATTGAGGATACCTGTCGCTATCGCCTTTGCTAGGGTCTTTCCCAGCTCGCAGTACCACTATAATACCATAATGAAAAGATTGTATAGATAGTTTTATTATTCTATAGATATTATAGAGTTTAAAGAACGCTGAGGAATTCGTACATACTTATGTCATCACTGTCAACTGCACGTATTCTAGGTTTCTTCGTTGCTCTTCTCGCGTCTTCTTACACGTCTGACATTTCTTCTTTTGGATTTTACAGTATCCTGTTATTCAGCTAGATCTCGGGTCAGGCCCATGACTGTGAACGTGGCGCAAGTCCTGTGTGCTTTGTTTCGCGATGTTAGAACTTCTGCGCTTGGAGAAACGAATAGAATTAAGTTTGACACGACTACACGCTCGAGCCAACGATTCTGCTCTCTGCTAGTTTGCAGTAGTAGTTCTCGCGCTGCTCGAAAGTAGACGAAATGAAGGAACGTACAAACGAAGTAGCCACATTCGTAATTACGTGGATATTTTGAGGAAGAAGTAACGCTGTGGGGGAAAAACAGTGTTGCGGATTGATCCGCAATGTCGGATTAAAATTTGCTGCAGTGAATGGAATGAATCTTCATACCTGGCGATTTTAATAAACGTTGGGAGAAAAAATCTTGTTTAATCCTTGCGTCTGGCAGGGAATGTTTGAATGAAAATCCTCCATTGCTGGAACTTTTACAGTCAATATTCGCAGCGCTCCCGGTATTCGTTCCGGAATCGCGCGGCGATACCTGTTGCAATTGCTTTAATAACACTCGCAGGATCACGGCGTTCGAAATAATTAAAAGTACAATATCGTATCGCGGGAGAAAGCAGCATGGTGACGGGGGGAGAGGAGCAGGGAGGAAAAAAGGAAACTGCGGGCGAAGGGGAGCAAGTTTCCCGGCGCAGAGGAATTCACAAAGGAATTTATTTCCACATATTTAATTGAAATGGTTGCTGAATAGTTCGCTAATATAATAAATCGTCCGTTTCATTCATGCATTAAGCTCGATGGAGTTAAATCCGCGGGCTGTGCCTTTCGATCGTTAAAATCTGCAACGGAGTTTGAGCAAAAATTCGTGACAATCTATCGTTCGTTTAAAATTATCAGCGAATCCTTTGACAGTATATAGAATTCTTGATTTTATATTATCTGCCTGACGAATAACGTCAGAGAAAATTTATCGTTTATTCGCAGCTATCGAGGATTATTTCGAAACAGATCAACGATAATCGTCAGATCGGCAAATGATTTAACTTGTTTATCGAGTCTAAAATAAGAATCGGAAGATTTCTAATTCCTTCTCCCACACGGGAGGTGTCACGTGCTTGTATTTTCCTCGAAAGCATCGCTCTAATCGGAAAAAGGGAGCAGGAGGATGACGGACAGGGATGAGACGTGGGCCTAGAGACGCGGACGGAAAGGGTGGCAAGAGCGAAAGCTGACATCGAGATGACAATTATTATTTCGAGTGGTTGGCGACGAGACGCCGGTGATATTTTATTTAAGATACAATCGCGTAATAGCTTGCTTCAAGAGGATAGATAACGCGCTGCCAGAGGCGACTGGTCCCAGGTTCGGATAAAGGTCGAAGGATGAAAGAAGAAAGGAAGACGAAGAAGGAGGAAACTGATGCTAGCTCGGAAAAGAGACGGGTACGGATAAAAAGGGGTGGAACGAGAAGGGAAGATGAAAGGCGAAGTTCGAGGGGGTGTGCAGCGCGAGGACGGATGATTCTACATTAGTAAATTACCTGACACCCGAGTCTCGCGGCCATCGTCCAAAATTGCAACTGTTTCCTCTAACGCGTAACTAACCGCGAATGAGTCGATCACTATGAGAGATGCAGTCTGACACTGGAAACGCGAGATTTAAGTCTAAAATAGGAGAGTTATGTCACGGTTTAAATTAGATCGACCATTTCGCAATCACAGGTTGCTTTAAAATTCGTTTGAAAGTCATCTAGGTCGTGTAATTGGGACTAAAAGTCACGAAAGGTCATCTAGGTCGTGTCGTTGGAAGTAGAAATCATTCGTATGTCACCGAACTTCACGATAGTCATTTAACGATTGCAGATGCACACTGAGACCGTCACACTTGCACCGATCGTTTGGACCACGTCGTTTCGTCAAGCTTATCGCGCGAATGTTTCGAAAGCACTGTTCAATCCGACGAATTTTGTCTCAAAGACGAATAAGATTGTTCCTCGTGAAACGATGGCGAACGATCATGGTATCGTTGGAGGTATCGTTGCCTGACGTCGTATCTCGTAGACGGAGCGCGCCTAATAGAAAATGGAAAAACTCAATCGCGTTGTTTGATGAGCGGTCTGGCACGGTTCGACGTGCGACACGGACCAAAGAGAGGATATCGCCAATCTTTTTTCCCCCTGTTCTTTCAGTGTCCATCGCGAAACTCCGCGTCGAAATGGCTAACGAGTTCGCGCGCCTCTTGTATCGCTGGCAGGACAACAACGGGTCCGGCGTTTCCTCCGTGACAGAGAGAGGACACGTTCGATTTTCTATGGGGGTACGTCGTCGACGTCGTCCCATAGGTGGCCGCTGGCGAACCGAGCAAATCGATGGGAAAAAGTTAGGACACGCGTACGAACGCGTTGATATGACGTTATCCAATTAAAAAAGCTGCCTTTGTGTAACCCGATCTGTCGTAGTCAGCAGCAGCAGCAGCAGCTACAGCCACAGCCTACGCCGTTACTCTTCCAATCTAAACCAACCCCCGTTGCTTCGTGGCAGCAGCCTGAAAGGCTGCATCCAATTAGTACATACCTTCCACTCTATTGTAGCCTCGCTACACGTACGCCAGTGATCGCTGCGACGAGCAGACGATATCTTTGCGAGCGGACTTTCCTTTCGCTGGGGAAGGAAAAAGAAAGAAATTAGGGGACGAGTTAGAGAAAAGAGAGGACTTAATGAACGGTACACTCGTGGAAACGAGCGCATCGCTCGATCGCGTCAGTCACACCGACTCACCTCTGTTCTCCGGGTAAGAACAGTCGCAAATAAAGCTCGAGCTTCGCTTGCTACTCCTCAGATGGTAGCGGTTCACAGCTCGGAATGGATCACGAAAAGATCACGAAAGGATGCGTGTCACGGAACGGCCCTGTGTTTTCCTCTATTCTTTCGTTTGCCGTGAACCCTCCGCGACTTCCATTATTAGCCACCATGTCTGCGTCCTCTGCAACATGGCACAATGAAAGCAACGATAAGAGCAACTGTGGAAATAGAAAAACTAAATGAATAAAAGCTAAATAATCGGATGTTAATGGACAAATGACACGCGTATCGGTGGCGCGACCACGTCGGTAATTAAATATTCAAACACCATAGTACTCCGAGAAGTACTTACGCCTATCGATTCTTAAACGCTTCCATGAACTAATTGCCAGCTAGCCCGCAAAGGTACCCGACCAAGGTAAAACCAAAATTATTTAATCCACTCGGACAGTCTATAAGCGGAACTGGCTTCGTTTAAGATGAATTTGCAAATGCTGGCGAAGCGATACTTCAGAGTGATCAAAATGTACGGACTCATGGTCGGCACGTGGCCCTACCAGAGTCAGTACTGGAAGTGGCTTCCTCGCGGTGTCTTTCTCATCGTAGCGATATCCGCGATAATTACCATGGTGCGTTCGACTCGTGGAAACGATCGCTGTTTCTTGAAAACGGCTGTTAAATTTTATGGACTTCGGCGAACTTTGTTCCCTTAATTATTTAGCAAATTATACGGTCTTGTGCCATAGTTTTACTTAGCTTCCGCGTTGCGTTCGAAGATAAATTAATCGATTCGATGGGTGACCGTAGATGAGCAATATCGTAGTGTCCTTCAGCATGCAGACGATAACCGACCAAATACCCATTTTGATGGTAGCCATGGCCATGTTCGTAAAGCATATCAATTTTATCATCAACGACAGCAAGGTAAAAATGACAGGCGAAAAATTGACGGATCGAGAAATTTAATTGGTTGTTTGCGTCTTGCATAGTTCAAGGATTTGTTCAACAATATGCTGAAGGACTGGCAAGCCGAGAAGACGCGGGAAGAACAGACGATTATGGAAATGTACGCTGAGAGGAGTGTATTCTTCATGTTCGTATATACACGTAAGCAGGCGATATGTTAATCAACTTTGCGTTACTTCGAGTTAAGCACATGGTACTTTGCGTGTTACGTTGAGTACAAACGAAATGCAAATGATTGGTTATCGTCGACAGAATTTTCAAAATTATCTCACGCTGTATTATCTTCCTTAACGTCGTATTCGCAATCATCGACTACTGAATCCAAGATAATTTCGAATTATTTTTCCAAAATTATACAGCCCCACATCCTGTGTCCCTTGACCCCCAAATTTTCGGGGTTGAAAATTAACTTTTCTTCTAATAATTATTTATAATAAAAAATATTTCGAAGAAATTACAAGTATATATAACGAACATTTAAAATGAAATTTCTTTTACTTCCAGCTTATTATACTCAGTATACCTGTGTATATATGTATGTTCCCGGGGATCGCAGATATTTTCTCCTAATCAATGCCAATAAATAAAATGAACGAATATATCTCGCAGACAGTTCTTTAATACGAAATTTCTTTTACCACGAGTTAATCCTTTGCACTCGACGACTTTTTCGTTACAGAAAAATGGTAATTCGAAGACTTTCAGTCATAGAGTCGAGGATATTTTTAAAATGGCAAATGAGAAATCATATGCAAATTAAGACGTAGAATTATTTTTCCTCGACATTCCATACATCGTTAGGTAATTTTAAATTTGATATATTAACCCTTTCGCTACCAGAGCCTCAGGAGAAAAACCACCACCACAGCCCAGACGTCTTATTATTTAAATATGGTACCAATTGTCATTTATTTTTGTGGGATGTACCTATAATGTTCTAAGTGAAATCAGCAATTTTACAAGCCGACACACATAAGTAACACTGGGCTATAGATAGATAATTCCTTTGGTAGTCCCGTCGTCACATATATGTGACACATTTGATTAAAAGGAAACGAATAAAATTAGAAAGGAGAAGCAAAATAAAACTCTACATATAACTCAGTTAATATACTTGCGGCACCACTTAGTGCAACCAATTAAAAAATATTGTAGAGACAGGGTGGTTGTTAAATAATATAAAACTATTTATTGATGATAAAATAATAATACAACGTGCGGTGAGGGTAAAGACTACGAATATAGATATATATAAACTCTTACAACTGCAACTAACAACACAATTACATCACTGACCCACCATAACTGTCTCTCAAGCACTGACTCTCAAGAATCCCCCGCTAACCATTTTCGTCTTCTTATATACATTTCCCAAAAGCCTGCCCCAACGTGACCAAGTATGGTCATGCTAAGGGCCCGACGCATCGCCGTGGTTTTCCCGACCGACCTGGCCCTCGAACCCTCGGCGACTTTCCAAACTAAAGTCACCTATACACGAAGTGGAAATTCTGCGATACTACAATATTGATAAAAAAACACGTAGCATAAATTTCTGATGCCATGATCTTTTTTAAAAAAGTAATTGTCGCCAGACCAATAACATCCTGTATCTATTTTATTGTTTTATAGCATAACCCGTCTGTGTGCGACACGATTTGGTGCAAACAATTATCATAAACTGATAATGAACACCTGTCACATATTTGTGACGCCGGGCTCAGATAAGGAAATCAGGTGGTCACAAATATGTGATGCTGGTAGTAAAACGGTTAATTAACGTCGATCTTTAGGATCTGAATAAATGGTGACCGAGAGTCACCTTTCGAGTGCAAAGGGTTAATATTTCGTGTATTTCTTCGTTTTCTTCCGTTTAGAATAGTATTTAAGTCTACTAGCATTCATAGCCATCTCTATGCCAATAAATAAGTCTATTCAATCAACCTATAGAACCTATATAATTTTACAGGATATTGAATAGATCAGCTATCGTTTAGAATAGTATTAAAACCTACTAGCATACACAGCCATCTGAATGCCAATAAATAAGTCATCAATAAATAAGCCATTGGCGAATAAAGTAGCTTAACACATCTTGCGCGGATGCTTTGCCGCCAAACTCTCACCGCGTAGCGAGCAATTTTTTACAATTCGACGTGACATCGCACATGGCCTGGTCCTTTCTTTTGCAAGCCTATTATCAGCCAAATGTCGAGTGCTGTTGCTAGCTTTCTAAAATCAATGGTTAAAGAATGCCTCGTGTCCGGTGACCCGAGGGAGATACAGAACAGTTTGCAAAGTAAGTAAAGATGCGATAATCCGTGCACAACGACTTTAGTTGCTACCCGCGCGAAATGTGTTAAGAACCCCTGTCTTACACGATCACGATCCACGTGTTATTACAGTGAACGCGTACTTTTGCTCGGTCGTGTTCCTGTTCCTCCCGTGCATGCCACGTCTGCTGGACGTTCTGGTACCCTTGAACGAGTCTCGGCCGTGGATTCAAATGTACCAGGCCTACTACTTCGTCGAGAACGAGGACGATTTCCTTGTCATTGCTAACGGCGATGTTCACGTTTATAGCACCAGCCACGACGCTGATCTACTTGGTACAACACGCCTGCGGACTCTTAGCTCTATCAGGGTGAGCTCCGTCATCTTGCGCGTCCATTTCGAATCGGCCAACTGACCGTTTATACGATATTTATACGATATTCCTGTTTGCAAACCTGACGTCGATGAAACTCACGAGGCAGACATCGTTTCAAGTACAGCCTGGACCAGTTGAACTCGAAAGCGGATTCGAGCGTGGACCGAGAGATTTACAGGAGGGTGTGCTACGCCATTGACACTCACAAACAGGCCTTTGCGTTAGTATAACCGATGCACGAAGGATCGATTGATCCTCGTTGTTCTTGTACCTTCTTGCATCCTGCTTGTACATGGCTGCTGTTGCTGGTGTTCGGGTTAAACTCGTGTATTCGGTCGTGTGATTTCGCAGCATGGCTTGCGTGGCTGTAAAGAGTATAGTGATTTGGTTGAGTCGAGATGGCAGGGGAAATTTGGAGAAAGATTCGCGCGTGTCCACTTTGCGTCCTTCGAACTTCTTTCTCTGGAATGTGATCCAGGGTGTGACAGTTTCTCACAGTTCTGTCTAAGATTCGCTGGCGTGTTTTGCTCGATCGCCATTATGGACTCTTGTTCGCTTGACTAAATCACTTTATTAAATAACCGACAGTTGAAAACCGAGCTTTGAAATTAGATATCTCAACGAAATCGAGAACGTTTATGCTCTGAACCTCTTCATACAAGTGGGTTTGGTTGTTTTGTCTTTCACCGTGACATTGTTGAAGGTGAGCGAATCACGATCTCCGCGATCTTCCAACAAATCGGTAGTCGTGTAAACAGATCATCCAAAAAGAACAAATAACAGGTAACTACGGTAACTTTGACCATGGAAACTTATCCGTATTATGGTTACGCGGTCGCTCAGGTGGTGCACGTCTTCTTCCTCACGATTCAAGGCCAATTCGTGATAGACGAGCACGACAGCGTTTATGCGAAGGGGTAAATATCCGAAACACGTTGCAATAATTCCGAAATTTAAGTTCCTTAATTTTTTTTAATTCAAATTCCTTTTATTTCTTCAATTAAAATTACTTTCGATCTTAATTTTACGATTATTTGAAACTTTCCAATTAAAATCACTCGAATTCCAAGTGCCCTTCTTTGCAATTATCATTGTATAATCGTTTAGAATTTCAAAAGATGATTTATACTATATAGCAAAAGTACTATACTTTTATACTATATAGCAAAAGTAATATGCTATACAGCAAAATCCATACTTTTGCTATATAGCAGCATTTCTGTGTTGCACTACGTACGAATTTGTGTAACAGGTTCGAAACAAAGTGGTATAACGTTCAATGCAAAACGCAAGCATTGTTCATTCTGATCATTCGACAGAATCTGACACCTCCGATGTTGACAGCCGGTGGACTGATACAATTAAATCTGGACTCATTTGCGGCGGTAAGCTGCTGGCTAACCAGTGATCGAGCTTCCTCTCGCTGGTATTAACGCCATGTTTGTTTCAGGTCGTGAAAACGTGTATCTCGTACTTCACTGTGCTAAAATCTGTCTGAATGCTATTGCCGACGTACATGTATACAGAATTTGCACGATAAATAAGAGGATCACAAACTTGTATTAAATATTTCGTAAATTAACGAGCATTCGTAATGGAAACAAAATTAATATTAAATCATTCATGTTTTTATTCCCTGCTACCTAAAAATTCCACGAAAATCATTACGAACATTCAACATGGCGTCTTAAGTCCCAATGAAATTTCTCCATAGTGCTTGATAACCGTTATTAGAGGCCATATCGGGATTCATACGATGCTAATCTTTTTAAATTACATTCGATATTTATAGGATCACGTTCCGTCGAGGCTGGAAATGAAATTTGTTGGAAACGATGTTTCACTGCAAGTTTTACGAGTGGTACGTATCATAAGCGATCGGGTTGAAAATCGTACTGAGAGGATTTACAGAATGTTATAGTATTTGAAAAATATTCCGATGAAAATAGTGTTAATTTGATGAACATTTTTTTCTTTATTATTAATTTAATTCCTGAAAGTATTTTAGGAAAAAAGGTAGGATATCTTTTTCGAATTTGGCGGTGATATACACTGCCATCTATGAAAGATAACCCCAAACTTCTAGCGAAATTTGTGGTATATCGGCTGTACTATAATTTCAGACAAAAATATGCAACTTATGCTGATTAATGCAAGAAATAATAAGTGTCGTACTGTTATTTCATCGCGTTAAGGTAGAAATCCTTGTATAATTATCGAATTATTTCAAATATTAAATTTTCAGAGAAATAGAATTACTTACAGGGTAATGCAGACGTCATAGTTCAGGCAACAACGAATGGATGGCGATACGTGTATAATCCCAAGCATTAAATTCGTATTATGATCAATATATACATATAAATCATTTTTACGATCATTTTTAATCATTCTCAAATAGATATTTATTCAATTTGATACTTATCGTATATTTCAAATAGAAATAGGATAAAAACAAGAAACTGGAACTGCATTCGTTCGTTATGGCACGCACTTTATCTATTACCCATTGCACCATACACATAAGTACATACATTTATTTGAACAGATTCCCCCATACAAAGCCATCGAAAAATACTGTTAGCTTGTTCCTCGGCCTACGTGAAACGATTCATATGTCGCGCGAAGCACTACCTGTAATGTAACGTGTACTCCAATCGTTAATTTTTCACATTCGTCATATCGGCTCACTTATCCATCTGTTGCATATGAATTATTCTTATCGCCTCAAAGTAGATGTAATATCAATTTTCGTACCTTTTTAATTCCTCTGTTAATCTCGCGCAGAAAAATTCAGGAACCACTACCGCGACTAATAACCGGTAGAAAGTGCTCCCACTTGTCGCATAAATTAAACAATCCCGAGCAGCTGTGTAAAATTACGGGTAACCGGATAAAACAATAAAACTATACAGTTATTATTTTCGTACCAGACGTCATAGGACTTAGTATCGTCGTTCCAGTTTCGCTGTTGACATGCACACCGTTGGTAAACGATTAAGAATCAAGACATAAATAAGAGAGATCAGTGATACTGAACCTAGCATGGTTCAAAGAGCCATTATTTAGTAAATAAGAGGAATTATCGATTCTGAAATTTATTATAAAAATTATTTGGTGCATTTTAACTTTCTTTCGTTCTCATTCAATATCAGAGCTATCGAACAGGTCAAGATTCTGGACATTTTGTGTTGGCAATTACCAAGTATTCAACTGCTCTTGGTAAAATTAATATTGACTCTCTACCTATTATATTTTCATCGTACCACTTTAATCAATGTTACCTGCGTGGGTGCTGTATTTAAGTATGTATTACAGGTCGGTAGTTCTAACGTTGAGGTTTTGATTAAAAATTTTGCACTTAAGGTTATCGCCTTTTCCATTCGATTTACCAATTCTTTTCTTTATAAACGTATAATCGATTTTCCAATAATTAAATATTTTTTTTTTATTTCGTTATTTCTAAAATTTGCTCACTATATATTTTATCAGCCTATCAACAATCTATCAGTTAGATAATTGTGATGGGATCAGTGTCAAGACTGACCATAATACTTGTACGTAATTTTATTTGATTCGTTATACTTCTGTTGTACCATTTAATTCCAGCTGGACGTTAATTCGATACTAATGTAACATAAAATTCTTGTTGGATGATATCACCGTACAATGTGACCATATGACCCATCATGGACTGGGAAGCAATCGAGTATCAATATTTAGGAGACAACAGATTCTTTGGTCGGCTCGTTGGAGTCTGGCCTAATCAAGAAAAATACCTGAAATATTTTTTACGATCGTTCGTACTTCTTACGATGATACTTTCTTTTACAACTCAGGTAACAATACTATGGTTAAACTAAAATAAGATACGTTTTTACTCTTTCACCGTCAGTTACGCACCTTCCCGTGTAAGCAAGTATTACATAGTAGTAGGAAAAAGAAACGAAACAGCATTTGGAAATGATCTGAAAATAATAAATACAGTAGAAGTTTGTAAAATTCGGATCAGTGAAGGGATTAAAGAAGTGTACGATTACTTTCTTTATTTTATTACTTTATAAAATTTTCCTAAATTAAGAATTAATAAATTTAATTTTGCATTAAATATTTTAATTTTAATTTATATTTTTATATCAATTAATAAGAATTATTTAATTAAACACTTGTAATGATCCTTTGAAATGATACACTTTTTACTCTCAGCTTTGCCTGATTTTCCCCAATAATTTGTACGTGGTGTCACTTCTGTCAAAGAACAAGTCACTATCGTGTGGAGTCATAAGTGTAGAAAATCGTCGCCCGGATGACAGTACTATTTGTGTGACTATGAATGTCGGGTATGTGATAGCCCTCAAGAATCCTATTGTCAAATCTAACGTCACCTATCTAAAAATCATCAACATGGTGCCAAGTTCTCACGCCATGGTCAAAAGCCAGATGTATAATCCTGAATAACTAACTTTACATATATAAATAATAACTAACCATAATTACATATGATTAATAACTAACTTCATAAACATCTTAACTTGTTCTCTTGCGCTAAACCCAAAAACTAGATGTATTAACTATAATATAACTTCGAAAATTAATTTTTCTCTGTCAATCATAATCATCCTTCCCCACTTTGCCGATCCACACTCCAAAATAGCATACTTTTAATAAATCACTTTTATATCTTTCAACTATGTTTATTCTGTTGCTACCTGTTGACGTTAGTCTCAGTCGTTGTCGAAATAATGCATTTTTAAGAAACTCATGAAGTAGAATTCACATTTCAGATAGCCCGGATTGTGAAGTTCTTTGATAGGAACGTTCTAACAGATCAAATGATGTATCTGACTATAGGAAGCACCCTTCTGATCAAACAGTACAACTACATTCTGAACGAGGACAAGGTGATAGACGATTCACGTCCTAAGATGATCACGATACTTAACCAGGTGAAAATCGTAGCTAAGGGAACTTCTACATAACATCGTGTCTGATCGACTGATGGACCGACCAGAAGACGAGGTAGCGATTTTGGAAATGTACGGCAAGAGAGCACAAGTCCTCTCATTCTTCTACAAAGGTGAAACAAAGGACACGCTCTGTCAGGTTACGAAATTTAAAATAATCTAACAACGAAAGCAATAAATTCTTCAAAATTCGATAAATACTATACGGATTGGTGGTAATGTTTATCAGTAATAATAATATAAAAATGTGAGAGTGGCGATAAAATTACGAATTATTTCTCGACGTACTGCACCGCTCAATGCGGTATTGCAATATTACTACTTCGTTTATTCCCTATTGTTTATCACGTTAGAAGCTGTCGAAAAGAGCATGCTGTCATGCAAATAGAAATTAATAAGGAAGATATTAATAATACTTGCTGAAACCGATGAACATTCGTCTAATTTAGCTTCGTTAACATGCAGAGACATATCGATAACTCTGCCCGAAAATAAATTAATTAATTCGATTAATTTAACCCCGTTAATATTTATGCCGAATTGTTGCTGGAAATCAGTCACGCTGATTGGCTGCGGGTCCATGTTCATCCTGATACCAGCCATACCATCTGTTCTGAACATCGTCGTGCCATTGAACGAGTCACGAAGCCGTGAACTGATCTACCCGTCTTACTATTTCGTTGACGAGCAACGGTATTACTACCCCAAACTGGTGCACATGGAGCTGGTGACGGTGATATTCATAACCATGTTCATTGCCTGCGATACGCATCTGATTCACATTGTGCATCATGGTTGTGCGTTGTCGTATATCAGTGGGTGAGTACTTTGTTAGATGACTAGTTTAGACGTGAAAGTTTGTAACGAAATGAAAGACTTACTTGGAATACAACTTCCGATCTGCTCATACACCCTCTTTTGTTATACTTTTACATTTCTTCCCTTTTCTTTCTTTCCTTTTCTTTTTTTTTGGGGGGGTATTTTCTCCCTCATTTGGAATTGTTACTCTAAGTGTCAATGCAGGTATCGTTTCAAGCATGCCTTGGATGACTTCGATCCTGTAAATCAAAATGCCGAGCTAATAGATAGAGCCTATGCGAAAGTGAGACGATCCATCGAGGCTCACAAGAGTGCTATTGAGTTAGTATCTGTAGGTTATAAGGAATTTACGTGTAGTTGGTTCGAGGACCGTACCATGCTTGGAAATTATAGAATATTTATTTATTTTGTCATATATTTAAATTTGTTTGCATGAATTTGCGTAAACTAAATTTGGGTAAGCAATAGTTGTAAATAATAATTACGTCGGGTAATTTAAGTATCGTTGGTCCGAATAATATTACCCGCTCGTAAATTGTCGAGTGTTTATCTGTTAGCTGCCAGTTTAAATTTGGGCAAATAAATTTGCATAAATGAAATTTGAATAGGACAGTGTTATACGTAATAATGGCGTTCAGAAATTTTCGTATATTTGGTTTGCACGATACAACGCGTTTGCCGATTATTGAATATTTATTTATTTATGGTAAATTAGTAAGTCGTTGAGCCACGCTAGAATGACGTTGAAGTCGCAGACATTCGAGTCAGACTTCATGGAAATAGTTTAAATTCCAAATATTCCCATTTCAAATATCTTGAATTTTTTATAAATTGTTGTCAAATATCGAAAATTATTATTTAAGAATTCGTAACGGTTGTAATTTCAGGTTCGATCGATATTACGTGCACGCGATACGTTCTTTGAACCAACTATGAACAAACTGTTATATACACGATTGTCGTCTTTGTCATTGTCATTTTCAATTCACGCATATGGTTTTTGTTACAACATTATGTCAGCTATGTGGATAAAATCGAAGCCTGTCACACGAATTACTTCCTCGTCATGATAGCATCGATAGTCACCGTATTCACGTTTACTTTTGTGATGGCAAGTCTACTTACGAACTGCGTTAGATCATATTAGATCTCGTGATTTAATGTACCTTATTGCTGTCCAAGATCAGTTGGCCACAATGGAATTTGAGGCTAGATTCTTCGTCTACTGCATTTCCGTTATGGGCCAAATTATTCATCTGTCGTTCTTATCAGTCCTGGGACAGTTCGTGATCAATACCAGCGATGAAACCTTCCTGACAATGTGAATAAATACTATACATCTATTTTCCTTTCGTTCATAGATATTTACAGAAGTATTCCTCAACCGAGGAAAATATTCTGATTAAATTTAAATGAATTTGCTTTATCGGAACGAAATTCGTATGAAATTCAAATGAAATTCGTGAAATTCACGTTTCGTTGTGTTCGTTGTATAGATGTGGAAGCTGTTGGTATAAGGGTGTACCGAAAACGCAATTGTTGTACGTGTTGGTGCTGAGGAAATGTTTGGATTCACCTAAATTGACATGCGGGAAAATGATTTACTTGAACGTGGGAACTTTTATACAGGTCAGCTGGACACCATCGTTTAATATTTGTACTTCGGTAAGAATCATTACATGATTATGAAATTCTTTCCAGGTCATGAAAGTATCGTTCTCGTACTATACAATGCTAAGGTCTACATAGGCTAAAAGAGTAATGATAGAAAATGAGAGGCTCGAAGAATTCGAAAAAATTATTCTTCGTCTTAATATTGACGATATTGTACTTGTTAGTCTGCACTTTGATTGATTCGATTAAATGACATTCAATAGAAGTGTAGTTTCAGACAAGGGGTATATTTTCTCGTCCTTACCTTTCATTTCGTCTATCACCCTCATCTCTGTGTCGTGTCAAAGTTCATAAAATCATGGGAAAATGGCAGTTGATTCTATCTGAACATTTTCAGGAAAAAAAAGAAAATGGAAAAATCGACTTTCAAAGGAAGAAATTTAAAAAGAAATTGCGACGTTGTGACATTAAGATAATAATTTTTGATCTTGATTAAAATTGATTATTAGAAAATGATGAATATTTTAACTCTCGAAAAATATTTGTCCCTGAATAAGGACTTAGGATATGATACAATTTTAACAATCGAATCTTGAACGTCTATTGATTAATTTGGTAGCTGCATATGTTCCATTCTAAGTAGTCTAAATTTTTGTGTGTATATCTAATAAAGCAAGGTTTCTAAACCTAAACTAGCGTTAAATTTTTAATCGCTCGTGAAATAAAATCGGTAGTCTTACAATTTTCTATAAATAAATGGAAATAACGAAAAATTAAATTAAAATATTTATTATAAATTAAAATTTGCCTGTAGGATTATTAATAAACATTACTGATCGTCTGCAGTAATTACTATCATTATTATAAACATTTTTCTATTAGAAAATCTTATTTAAAGTAATATATTTATATTATGTAATACGATATTTACGTTTTATTATAATATAATATTTTCACTTCTCTATTATATATTACTACACATACCAAATCCTTTCAAACAAGTTTGTTGAGTTGAAGAACCCTGTAATAGGATAATGACAATCGAATTATCTGTCAATTATTCGTGTAATTATTATCGGCTGTTTCGCGACCGTACACTCTTTTCCACGAATATTAACTCGGAATTAAAATTATGAAACAAAGTTCACATAAACGGGCACGAAGTGCAACACACTCTTTAGTAGCAACGTCTGCAAGCATCTTCCCGAAGCTATTGACTTGATCGAGACGACTAGATATTGTGGGGAAGAAGATGAACTGTGTAATGTACTTCGTGACATTTCCAAATGGAACATGATTACATAATTAGTCTTGTTCGCCGTATTATATTAAAGACTAGCATTTCAGCCACTGCCGATGCACGGTTAATAAAGTACTAGTCGTTTCGTGCATACACTTACGCACGATGTAGGCATTAAATTTTCTTATTGCTATTCCGTACATAAATGATTAAAGGGTCGTAGAATGGTTGGTACGTACGCGATTCCATTAGCGACATGTGGATGACAGCAATTTCAGTATGGAAGCATTTTGGCATGAATTTTTAACGCGTATCATAAAGCTACATTATCTTGCAGCGGTAATGGTATAGAGTATCATCGGAGCGATCAAGGAAATATCTGTGCTATCATTTTCATTAGTTCAATCCAGGCTTCGTCATGAATACTGCCACGGTGGAAGACAAGGTATTGAAGTTTACGAAAAAATTCGCAAAGTACAGCGGAATTTGGCCTGATCAAAATAAATTAGTCAAATACATTCTGTGGACCATGACGTACATTATCATCGTACCATCTCTCGTCGTGCAGGTTCTTGTTTAATAGTGTTTCCGTTATGTTTCGTTGACCTTTCGCAAAAATTTTAAAATTTATACAAGCTTTTTTAATAATATTTCACTTTGACCTCAGGTAGCAAGAGTGGTTCACTTTTTTAACATAACTGTCATAACAGAGCAGTTGGGGACCGCATCCGCGATGATTCTGGTGATAGTGAAACAGGGTAACTATATCGTGAACGCTACAAAGGTGAGAAGACGCTTGGCAAACGTAGCTGTTCCTTCAGATTATACAACCTTAACAAATATTGCAGTATAAGGCCCTTTTGACCGGCATCTACAAGGATTGGGCGGTCCAACGATCAAAAGAGGAAGTTGCCATTTTGTCGACGTACGCTGCGAGGGGATCATTTCTTACGTCGTTCTATCTTGGCGAGTCAATTTATTTTCATAATTACCGAACGCTAATCAATCGTAATTACGAGGAACTAACACAACGTAGACAATTAGGTTTACCAAATTATCTTACTTTTCAGACTTAATTAGCCCGTAATTAAAACAGCAATGATTTAATTCCAGTAAACGCGTTCACTTGCTCCTTCCTCTTCATAACAGTGCCCTGGACAGCACGATTATTATACACGTTTAGTCCTCAGAACGCTTCCCTACCCATGTTAAATGTTATACCAGGTTACTATTTCGTTGAGGACGACCATAAATATTATTATTACATTCAGCTACAAATGAGCATTGCAGTCATTACAGTGATTATCGTGTTTATCGGATGTGACACTAGTTACGCGGTCATCGTACAGCATGCTTGCGGACTGCTGTCTGTGGCTGGGTGAGTAATCCAGAAAATTCGTATATTAGCCTTTTTTCTGAAAATATACGAAATTTTCTCCAATGAGTATAAATGGATGTTCTCAGACATCGCTTCAAACACGCGATCAATGATCTTTCTAGTAATAGAAGCATCTCAGAGGAGAGCATAAAAAAGGCATACCAAAGGGTGCGTTTCTCTATACAGGGGCATGAACGAGCTATTACGTCAGTATCAGGTTTTCATTTCAAATTATTTCTTTTTATAGATATAAATGTATGTATATATTTGTTTTATTTAAATATTTTTATCGTTCTGGAAAAACGCCCTCCCCTGATCGTGATTATGGAACAGGTATCTAAAGGAAATTGAGAGTGCGCACATTATTTACCTTTTCATTTGCATGGGCTTAGTAACCGTATGCTTTGGTATCACGTTGCTAAAGGTGAGCTTCTTTAAATTATCTTCGCATTACCCAATATGGGATATCGATGCATCGATAGATTGTGTGAAATTAGGTCGTCACAATGGAATATTCTATGGACTTTTTGAAGTATGGTAGCTTTTTAATTGTCCAGTTGATGCACCTGTTCTACTTAATGGTTCAAGGACAGTTCGTCATAAATGCATCCGATGAAGTTTACGATACAATGTGAGTAAAAGTAAATGAGTGAATTTTATAGCGATCGTGCCGATAAAGAAACTAAAAAATTGTCTTATTTTAACCCCTTGCACTATTTTTCGAATTTGACTCGTGATGAAAATTTTAGGCCAAGATTGAATATCACGAGTCAGGCTCGTGGTTTATTTTCATGTCAAACGTGGATATCACGAGTCTGACTCGTGATCGATTTCGCGGACCAAACATGAATATCATGAGTCTGACTCGTGATCTCAATCTCGGGCCAAGTATGAATATCTAGAATGAGCTCGCGGCTATCTCGCACTCATTGTCAGCCGTAAGATGTGTCTCAAATTTCGACACTCCGGATCCGCCGTTCAGCTCCAACCCTAACTACTCATTCGTACGGGTTTGGTAGGGTTTTTTCCGAGTTTCAGCGTAATCCAAGGGGTTAATCAAATTTTAACTATGACAAAATTCTGAGCAGCGAAATGAATTAATAAAACTGTCATCTTAGTTTTCCTCCTTTTATAGAAAATTCCCATAATTGTCATTACGTTCTGGAAAGGAGAAATTTCGAATTTACGTATTCTTGTTTTAATCTAGTGGTTATTTGCGTCGCTTGACATTTTGAAATTCACAGATACGAAGCATCATGGTACAATTCTAATTCAAGAACGCAAGCATTATACATACTTGCATTGCGAAGAAGTCTATCTTTACCTCGTTTAACTGCTGGCCGCGTGATAGAATTGAACATGCAAACTTTTTCTGAAGTAATCTATTAATATTTTCGTCTCGAATAATGGCCATACATTCAGTAAAGCAACGTTGACGTTTCCAGGTGGTCAAATTATCCATATCGTATTACACAGTACTAAAATCAACATGATGGGCAAACGAGATTGACATTTATGTATAATTCACTATAACGCATTCGTCACTGAGAATAATTTTTCAACGATAACTTAGCGATTGATGTTTAAAATAATTGTATAAAATATATTTAACATTATCTGGATATAGAACAGATATATGAAAATACAAATATAATTATTCGAAAAAACTGGTTTCTTTTTATTTTCTTCGCATCTTGAAAGATTCGAGCATCACTTATTGCATATTAGATTAATTAAATTGAACTTAAATTTATCCGTGATTCAGCCTCACCTCTGCCTCGAATAACTTCATTAGTCACTGATTTTTCGGACAAATGGAAATAAATATCACTGTTGTTGTCACAAAAATTAGCATTATTAATCGTGGCAACAGTGTGAACTATTCACGCACGTATCATTGGGCGCTTATTAATCTCGTTGCAAAATATTAACCTGGAATCTGGACCGTGGGAGTATGTCAGCTTAAACGTGAACGAAGCTCGCGGCACTTTCTCACAGAGAGAACACAAACGAGGGACAAATATCTTTCGACTATTCATGGCCTGATGAAGAAGGTAGCGAGAAGAAAATCCGTCTAGATCTCTTCGATACTCGCTCTATGTTGACTTATATACCGTGCCATTTTTCATGCGAATGTTCTTAAAACCCAGCTGCATATTTTTCAGGTCTCCGAGCATAAAATTTATTTAAAATATTCAAAGCAATTACTCTTTTCTGACAAAGTAGGTAATGCGGCGATGGTTTTTTCATGAAAAATAATAAAAACCAGTCTAAAAGTATAATTTTTTATTAATCGTTAATATCCAATTGTCACTGAGTTACTTTTGTTACAGATACTTTAAAGCCGTACATTTCGCAAAGTGGAATAAATATATAATCTGTAGACTTTCGCTATACTATATAGCAGAGTACTATACTATACAGTAAAATCCATACCTTTGCTACTATGTAGAAAATGTATGGATTTCTGTATTGAACTACATACGAATCTGTGTAACAGGTCCTCGGTGTGAGGAT